TCCTCTCCTCTCGCTCTCCTCTCTCTCTCCTCTCCTCTCCTCTCCCTCTCCTCTCCTTCTCCTCTCCCTCTCCTCTCCCTCTTTACTTTGAAGAATACTTCTAGGCAAGTATCCCGATTATTGTTTTATGAGGGAACCTCATTAAGGTAACTTCATTGATTATATTTCTGTACTAAGGAAATAGCTGCCAGCACTAAATATTTAAGGCAGTTTATCTGCCAAATTAATGCTGGCATTGTATCAGCCAAGCAGCCCCGATGCCAGCAGCACTACAGCATATTCTGCTGTGGGGGTGGCCTGTACACTGTGAGTATATCCCTAAAAGCTGCTGAATCCTACTTCTTTTTACCTAAACCTAGGCTAAAAATATAACCTAATTGTCCTCTGTTCTGTAATTGGCCTAGTTAACTAGCTGAAACGCACAGGCTACATATCACTTCTCTCCACAAAAGCACAGTCTTTGCTCAGAGCAGGGAGGCTTCTGTCTGGTCCGTTCCTGAAGTGTTATGTCTACGCAACAGTAGACATTATGCATAGAGCACGGCCTTGTCTATTAATAAAAAAACTATTGAAACTTTGCTCACCTTGAGAAATAAGCTCATAGGAATGGTCCTTGTTCCTCCAAATTGCCATAGAGTATGGAATAGGATATGAAGTAGAATATGACTGCATTGCAACTACTTACCCCCAAACAAAAAAAATGATAAAAAAAACACTACCACCACCACCACCATCACTACAACAACACTGGAGAAGAAGGAGTTACTTACATTGAGTGAGGATCCCTGTTAAGGCATTTTTGAAACTCTCCTTGGCTTGCTCCATTTCTTGCTCATGACCGGCCTTTTCGTTCATGAGCCGGCGAACATGGCTGTTGGCTGACTGCACCATCGAATAAAACTGGTTTGCTGAGCGCCGATTCACCTCGCCTCGCTCAATCCAGGTAAGCAGCACTGTGATGGCCTCTGAAAACTTGCTATCATCTAGAACAATCAAATCACAGGTTTTAAACTGCAGGCATAAATAACCTGCCAAGAACAGATTTTCTGCTCCATGTCACATTAAAATCACCATAAATCCTGCTTGCAGTATATAATTTTGGGCAACTTTTGGGTCCTTTGTTCTATCAGTCGTAGGAAGCCAATACTGCCACATGAAACTACATAAATCTTCCTTCAGGACTTGTCTTCTGCTTATTTTAATAGCTTTCTCACAACAAAAAGCACCCCCTCCCCTTCCCTGTGGCCTGACTCTTTGCATTCACAATGTCTCCCTTAAGCTGTTCAGTGATATGAAATGACCTTACAGCGGCAGCGAGGAGACCTCTGTGTTACAGGACCCACTGAGGAAATGAAATGTGTCTGTGTTAATCTGCTCGGCCAAAAGCTCATTCTTGGAGCTTGAGCTCAGCCGTACTTTTGTCAACAGATTTTGCTAACATCACATTCTTAATTAAGGAACAATGACGAGGCTGAACAATTCCTCCTCAAAGCACTGATTAATTACAAGGAAGTGCTTTGAACAGATGATGTGTCTGTATTTGTTTTCTGTTTTGCATTTGTCTGTGTTTTGTTTTACGTATTTTTTTAAAGGAGTCCAGGCAAATCCAGGCAAACACCTGGATTACAGATTTATGTTAACCATTCAGGTAAAGTTATATTTCTCTGCAGAAAGATAACAAAAACTGGTCACTAGATTTTGTACACGCCTTCCCCAAGTAATCTTCTTTACTCTGACAGTGCTCTCAGCTTCCACAGAAGACTCTTAGTGCAGCATCCATTACACTTCTGGTTTCATCAGGATTAAGAGGACACATTTCTTTTTAAGTCCCATTTAGGCTGAACTGCAAGAAAATGTTATTTCAACAGAGTGTTTTCCTGTGGAACCATTTCTGTGCGATTTGATCTATATTTTTTCCCAGGATTTTATTCCATAAAACTTCCATTTCCCAACATATCATTTTAAACATCTTACCTAGTCCTTGTTGGTTAGGTTTCTTTATATATATTTTAAATTGTAGGTAATGCTTTCCACAGGAGAAAGTATACAGTTATGGTGAGAAGAAGTGGTATAGTTATAACCAAAAGACACTTAAAATGAAAACTGGGAAATATTAAACCCAACCAACTGTGTTACAGGATACAGAAATGTGGGGCATAGTTTGTAAGACTCTGCTTTCTATGTACAAAGAATAACGAAACACTAATTCTTAATTGACGATTTAGGCTTTTATTCTGACTCAGTAATCACTGCCCTAAAAGGCCAGGAGCCTTTCTGTACCTCTCTGGTACAGAGAGGACCAGTGGACATGCTCTGTGCCCGCAGCCTGTGAAAAATAGATTTTACATTGCATGATCTTTAGCAACTTATTAACTGAAATGTGCTTTCAGGTACAGCGATAGGATTTGCTCTCCACAGCTAGATAGGCATGTTCACCCATGATCCCTGCAAAAATTTGCAGAATAAGAGCATCATAAAATCCTCCCTTTGTACAATGATGCATCTGTTGGGACTTTACATTAGCATGTGATTCATCATCATCATTCATTAAGTAATTGTCTCTGGGGAGGAAGAGTCAAGTGGGCATCTTTTCTCTCCATAGTGTCCCCTTGGATTAGACTCCACTTCCTAGCTTTGCTGGATACATACGCAGCAGGTATATATTAAGTGACTCTAATGAGTGAGGTTGGTTGAATGTGGTCCTCAGAAAAGCCAAATGTAAACAAGACTCATGCAAAGCCTCTTAATTGCAAGGAAACACTAGGATAAGGCTTTCCAAAAGGTTTAGGTAAAATCTTCAGCCTGCTGAAACGCACGGGAGCTGGATGTCATGTATGCAATACAGCCAAGAACTCATCCCTGGAACATAATGTTTATTATAATTACAGTAGTCAATAAGAATAACTTGTAATGGCTTCTGGCAATGTTAGCATGCAATTTCCAACAGTCTGTACAGTCAGGTCGCGCTGCGGATGGCACTAGGCTGTTAACACCAAGGATGCATCTGATTGTGAGTAGAGAGTAACTACAGCTGAATGTTCCTTCTTTTTTACTTGTAGACATCATTATCTTTATCATCACACATAATTTATCACCTTACACTACATTTAGAGTAAATTATCCTGTTCAATCTAGGTCAAGACATAAACAGCAAAGTTGGAAGAAATGATACACAGAAACACCTCTGAAGGGGTACACCGTGACCTGTGAAGAAAGAGTGCACACAACTGAGCAAAAACGTTTCATGGACATGCATAAGGAAAAGCAGTTGCACAGAACCATTCTCCCTTTTTCTTGCTTTAACGTCTCCCCAATAAACAGACATACGTTGTTTTGCCATAGAGTCTATATGAAATGAAAACCCTCCTCCTTTTGTTTTTGTTTTTCTCAGGCACAGTCTGTGTCAGTGAGGGATGTTCCTAAACATGCCATTCTTCTGCCTCATAGATTCAACCCATTTAAAAGGAGACACTGAAAACATGTTTTTAACATATTATACTGCCAGGGAGCTGCAGAGGTCTGTGGGCCTCTTATAGGTAATTCATGGCTCTGTATTAGCAGGAAAAAATCCTTTCATTGGTAAACATCAGCATCTTAATTGATTACATAATTATAAGAAACATTAAAAAATGCTAGAGGGTTATATATGCACAACAGGAGCACATTAGTAAATAAAATCTTTTCTCTACAGTTTTTAAATTTCCTTATTTCACCTTAATTTCTATCTTCTCTATTCTTGAGCTGACTACTCAGTGACTGGCATAAGGTACCTCACCGTTAATTAATTTTCTTTATCCAGAATGCAGTGACTCTTTCTGAACAATCAGAGGTTCACTTAGAAAATGAGATTTTTATACTGGATTGTTCATTTATTTTTTATTTAATAGATAAATAGTAGAAGAAATGCAGCAATGGAATCTAATTTAAGCAGAGCATGAACTGCCTTATGATTGCAGCCATTCATTAAAAAATAAAATAAAACTCCTAATTCTGTTAAACTTTATTCCTTTGCGGTAGGATGCACATAAATATACACTGTTTAAGAACATAATCTTAAAATAAATTCCTTTATATAAGACGTGCTTCCATATGTAATTGTTCTTTTAAAATGAGCATGCAGCAAATTATTTCTCACATGTCAAGTTTTTTTCTCCTCCAAGTTACAGCATGTTTTAAGCAAATAAGGTAAGATTCATCTCCTTTACGTCAACAGCTGATTTAGTAACCCCAAGGTCCTGGTGTAGTCAATGGAAAGAGATGGACACTTGGGGGACAGGCTTTGCCAGTCCTGTTTTAGCTGTCTATTTGAGGGTGAGATGAACTGTGTCCCAGAAGTGCCCGCTTCCCTTAAGGAGCTGTAAAGGGAGCCTGAGGTGCCCTGCTCATATATAGACATCTCGGCAACAGACATCTGCATGTGGTCAGAGTAATCCCAACACAAGTTACACAAGTGCACCAGTTACAGAACGCCTACCCAGCACTTGTGTACCGGTGTTGGGTTTCTGGTTATGCTGCAAGCTGTGATGCACACTGTGTCGCTTTAACATTACTCATCTATTGAGGACGGCTTTCTGGGTGTCTGTCAATAGAGATTTCCAGGTGCTGCTAGACTCAATCACAGGCCTCTAGAGATAAGATATTTCACATTCCTCTTATATCAACTGAAGATATTTGGCACTTAAATCCTAGCTTACGACTTAGATGGAATGAGATACAAATAAAAAGGAAAATACATCCCTAGAGCTGTCTGGGAAATTGTCAACAGAGATATTTTTTATGAAAAAGAAAAAAAAAAAGGAATAATTGTTGACAAATGTTTTGCATTTTTCTGCTTGTAATTTGACCACCTTCAAGCAACCCCAACTGGCTTAAATGTTTTAAGAGAAAAAGCTGTGACAAGAACTGCTACAAAACTGAATACTGGGAAAAATTGTTGGAAACAGAGATTTTTACTCCCAGTTTATGGACTTTTTCTGTTGTAACACAAGGAAGAATACAGCTCAGAGTAATGTGAAACATTGTGACTATTTATCTCTCAAAGTTAAGCACTTCCATAAGGTGCTTTCACAACTCGGGTGATGGTTTCTATGGTCTTATCCATTAGAAAGGAGATAGACAAATACATCACTCTGAAGCTAGACATTCAAACAATCTTATTACTATCATTTTTACATTTATAGATAAGTTTCAGATATATCTAGCTTTATATTTCTGTATTTAGAGTGTGACATTGTATGCTGGACTTCTAGCTAGGATAAGATCAGATATTGGTCTACAGTTTCTTTTTAGCCTTGTTGGTATCTTCCCAGTCCTGGATTTTCTTCAAAGTAGCTGAGATAATTCACACAACACTTGAAGTCTGTCTAAACCGTGGCAGTCCTTCTATGTTGTCCTACGGTCCATGGTGTTGTGCAGAGTCAGTATATACTATCTCTTGTCTCTAATCTTATTCCCCTCATGCATTCTTCTAGGCTTGCAGGAAGATGCTGAAAAGCCAGAGCTGTCATTCTGTATCCTAAAGACTACACCTAGACAGCTCCTGTGCTAGTTGTGTATGTTTTGGGTTGCATTAATGATCTCATTTTTCTCTGGCCCGTCTGTAAGGTGTGCCCTTATGCTGAGCTCTGCCCTGACCAGTAGAAATCCAGTTAACAAACACCTCTTTAAGGTTTTCTTGTGAGTACTGAGAATGACTGTGCTACAGGGCATATAGAGAGGGGACAAGAGTTGTAAGATATGTCCCATCGGTTTGCCTCTGACTGACAGCCTGTCCCTGTCAGCTGTAGCTGTGCCATAGGAGGATGTCCCTGTCCCTTGCCCCATCCTCACCTGCTCAGCTCTACCCCTTTGCTCAGGGTTGCGCTGCCCTCAGGTCTGCCCGGAGCTGCTCAGCTGATCACATTCCAGTTTCACTTTGTCAAACTGGGCCCAGTCCAGCCACTACAGGACAGTGGTAGAGGCCAATTTGGGATGCAAACTTCTT